TTAAAAACCTTCAGCTAGTTAACTTATTTTCAGGGGTTCTTTCTTCACCTTTCTAGCTTCGCACATTCCTCTTCTTGTCTCACTCTCCTTGCCTCCAGATGTTTCTCTAACCGTGTCATGCACACAGTGACAGAGGGCGGTCAGGCCATGTTCATTCCATCAATTTATTGAAAACAGACATAACAGGAAGAGTTCATTCCTGCAGAGCACCCCCCCCCCTCCATTACAGAAATCAATAAGGAACGGCTGGTTTTAAAAGCATGCGTGATAGTTAATAGATTTCAATTGTGCAAGGCTGCACCATTCTCTCCAGAAAAGGGGGTGGCATTGTGTAACACCAGCACAATTTGTGCCATAAAAGTCCCAAATGTTGTAATGAGAGCGTTCTTATAATCTCTGGTACATTTACGCTAAAGTCAGAAAAGCTCAAATCACTGACGGCTGATGTGGAACATGTGGGAAATTTCATGGTTATGCAAGTTGGAAAACACATAAAAACTAAACAGGACTGTACTGACTCTATTTACCTGCTTTCACTCAAATGAGAACCTTAAGGGAACTTCTCACTGAGTCAGATACAGTTACAGCAACAACTGCAGGCTGACTGGACTTTCTGGAAAACGATTCAACTGTCAGTACCTCAAAACAGCCAAATTAATGAGGTCTGAGGACGGCGGTTAACAAAGGCAGATGTCTACCACCCAAGATGGCATCCTACATAGGATCACATCCCATCTTCTTTCCTCTGCTAAGATGAAAAGACAGTTAAAAGCATTAGTGGTAATGCTCCATGTCAGTCCTGACTATGATGGAACTAACAGATTTCCAACTTTCACCAACAAATCCTTGCATTTTTATCAGATTATATAATACACAATGAGTTTGAAGGCCCCCAAAAACATCCCAGATGCAAATATCATCCGGCAGAAATGAATCCAGCTTCGTGAGCTGATCCTCACGCACTGAGCCTGTCGACGCTGTCAGCGCCGCAGCTGAGTTAAGGAGCGCCAAATGATTTGCCTCAGATGGCAGCACAACACGTTATTTATGCTTTTCCCCCCGTAAGCCACAGACAACATCATTCAACAAAATTACATCTTATTCATTATCCTGATGGGAAAGCAAACCAACCGCGAAAAAAAAAAGAAAAGTTGAGATTGGCTGAGCAGCACAATTACAGCAGTGCGACACAAATGCCCAAATAAGCATGTTTACCAAGCCGGAACACATTCTGTTGATAAGAAATGCCTTCGTGTGGCTGCTTAATTAATTTAAACCCTTTAACCGAGAATACGCTGAATCCTCCATCGTCAATCCAAGAAAATGGTTTAGAAGGAAAACATGTGAAGAAGCAGTCACGTAGTTCGACTGTGATGAAGGCTGGAGAGATTAAGATGATTGTTTTCCTGTTTAGCTCCATGATTTTTTTTTTTTAATAACTAAATCATACACGGCTTGAGTCGATTTCTGGGGATGGATTTTTCATTTTCATTTTCATTTGTTGATTACAACTTGGAATTACTTTGTGTTGCTCTGACCGTCATTTAAATCAGTTGTGATATTTTTAGACTCACTAGTTCAAACTGATTTCAAACTTCCTGGTTCAACTTTGATCTCCTGTACGTGTCATAGTTGTGCTCGTACACAATTTGGGCACATTTCTTTGTGATGAAGGAATTGTCACAAAACATATGCTCTAAGTTAACACTTTACTTTTTTAATCAAACAGTGTGGGGCACTTAACGTGGGGGGTGCAATGTTATCACAACTGCTACAGAGAGTGAAAATCCACCTACTTGCTGTTTCCATGAACTTTCAGCTCGATGTCATCGTGTTCGTTGTTGGTGGAATTGATCTCCTTGGTCACAAGACGACATCTGAGCAAACTGCATGAGCTGTGGATGAACGTGACAGAAAATAAACTCAATCTTGAGTTAAGATCTTATAGTTCAAAAATATACATGCATATATTCCTTTTCTCCCTTCATTAAATGTATTATTTTCTTTTGATAAACGAGTCAACATTTCTTGAGTCTTGTCCTTTAAATCTGACAGATTTTTCATCAGGATTCATGAGTTGTTCTCTTCCTGGAACCTCCCCCTCCTTTGTCCAGATCCATGCCACAATTTCATGAGTTCTTTGTTGGCCCATGTTTCATCCTTCCACCGAATTTCATGAAAATCTGTTGACTCATTTTGGTGTAATCTGAGGGTAAAGACAAAGAGAAAGCTGTGAAACCTCACCTCTGATGACATGTTTGATCACCAAATGATTTTAAAATTATTGTCGGTTCTGTTCTACGTTCTGTCTGTTAACTTCCAATCTCCACAACGAGTTAATAACTGTTTCTAAGAAGGGAGAAAAACACCAAAACAAGATCCACTTGGCGCTCGCTGTTGACCTAGAGTAGAAGATTGTGACGGCCTTGAATGTCGGCCAAGTGACGAATCACTAAATAACAGTGCTGTCAACATGATCCATGGTGCGTGGCCTATAAAATGTCTGTTCTTGTATGAAGTGATATGTGGGTCATAACGTGGTCAGCGAGTGCGGTGCGTGCTGATGGTATAGCTCGCATATGAGGACAGCACATGTTTACAGCGGTGAAATCTGCTGCTCGAATCACTTACGGAGGAAGGAAACAAATAAATCAGCAAGGTTAGTTTTCGTTCCTGCGAATCGTCAAATAAGAAAGTGCATAGTGCCGGTGTTGCTGAGGATTGTCACTGACTTTCCAATGAATGCTTTATGTGCTGATTGCGGGAATGTAACACAAAGGAATGTTGACTGGGACAGAGACGCTGAAAGCAAGTAGAGATTAATAATAAGAGAATATCGGATTCCTCGAGGCGGACGACACGAAGAGGGTGAAAGACAAAAGTGCAAGATGAAGGTCATTGGGTAAGACAGTTGGTTGAGACATCAACAGGGACAGGTTGAACATATGTTTTGGGAAATGAGACATGTATGTTTGTCCGAGTGGTTTTCTGATTTCAATTGATCTTTTTAACAAAACGTAACTGTCCCGATTACATCATCTCTTTTTTAACTTTTGAATCTCAAAATCCACAGTGCGTGTCTGTTCAGGGGGCTCACTGAACCACCAAGTGGCCATATCCAGAAATGCATGTGGGGATATTATCTACGGGGTTTTTGTAACGCCAGTGTTTCCCATTAATTACTTGGACTGTGATAGTCAAATTTATCCTGCCACACTTTTCATCATGAACCAAAACTCAGCATTCTTTGACTCGTTCCTTCTTCTCCTTCTCAGCGCGGAAAGAAATCCTGCCAAACCAGAACCTAGCGGCGTCTGTAGTCTTGGGAATTAACTGCGTGCTATCATGCTAGCACTGTCAGGTTTGGGAGTTAACCCATTCATTCTTGCGATTTTCCATCACTTTTTGGTCAGGATATGAAAATGCACAGGATATTTATTTTTCATTCCTGTAGTAGTTCAAATTGAACCTATGTTCAAATCTGAAGGATCAGTGGATGTCCTGCTTGGCCGTCTTTCACTGCAAGTTATCTCTTCTGCAGTGAACTGTATCCATTCAAGCAAAAAATGTCACTGACCTTGAGAACGTTGGATCCATCTAAGCTTGTGCCGTCTGACGACTGGTTAAGCAGCCAGGCAAACGATAACAGCGCATCAGAATGAACCCTGCGACCTTCATCGTGTGACAAAACAAACCAGAAGTGTACTGTATTCTTACAAAGGGGCCACAGTTTCCCAAAAAGCGTCTTTCTGCTGAATTAGTGCAAACTGTAAGGGCGCTTTAGGTAAATCACACGGACAGGCAGACAATAAACAAGCCAAAGGTCAGAAGCTGAACATTTTGAAAAAATGCGGATAGAGAAAAAAAATGTCAAGTAATAAGAAAACTAATCTTAGCTGGAGACGTTTTCTTGCTATTCCGGGGGTGTTTCCTTACCCTCTGCTTGTTTTTTCATTACGCAGTCTCAACACTTTTCTGCTTCTGTGGTGGAAATCACACAATGGCCAATACTGATTGCTTTATTTTCTCAGTGTGTACCCCCCTCTCATGTTTATTATTGCAGAACAGGAGGATAAGCCGGACAAGAGGAGGGGGGGTGCGATGCTGAGCCTGCACAATCTGAACATTTTCTTCTAATAATTTGAAATCCTTCGGGGTACAGGAGGCAAGGTGCAGGGGGTCGGGATACTCGCCGGTGGGGCTCGTGGGTCGGGGGAGGGCGATGCAAAGTGCCAGATCACCAGGTCTGCTCAGGGTATGTGAAAGGTGAGCACGGCTTCTGAAAGGATTTGGGCAGAAGGCTCGGGTATGTAGTCTGGTCTGCACGTGCTCAAGTAGCTGTGGGTGCTGTTCTGACTGATGTGCAATTCTAACGCTGCAGGCTCCACCACCCAGAACAGTAAAGCAATACCTCGCTGGCTGCACCCACCGCTGAGCATGTGGTCCCACTCACAGAGAGGTTACATGTAAAGAAATTATTGTTTCAGTGGGTTAATATGGAGGCCACCTACACACCTGCCCAGAGGAATGTGCTGCATGGTGGGGGGTACTGCCAATGGCATTCAATCACATACCACTGGTGCCAGCAGGGGATGTGGCCAGTGGTGTGGAAACCTCCAGAGGACTGGGAACAGTCTGCACAGAGGGAATACACTTGATTTCTCACTCTGGTTGCAATTTTGTGACAGGAACATGTTTATATTACTAATAAAGAGAAACGCATCTGCAGTCCACAGAATTCAGTCTTGTGACATGAGGCCAAATTTCCAGAACAGACACCTTTGGGTTTGTTCTCAGGACAGGGAGAGCACAAAGGCGCCGTACATGAACGGTCTTAAGTAAATTATTAGAGCCTAAGTGATTAACAGAGTTAAATGTTTGAGCAGAGCTCTCCTCAGGCTGCAGCGCTCCCTCATATCGGGGCTCTCCGTTTACATTATTCATACGGAGGAGGGTGTGACTTCTTGGCTCTTTTTTCCGCCTATATAAAACGAGAAGTTCGCGTAAAAGAAAATACAGATGGAGAAGGCTAGCCGCCTCGCTGTGTCACAGAGAGTCCCATTGAGCCTACGTGACAACTCACATACTGTCCCTTTGTGACCAGCTTAATCGGCAGAATGCCCGGTGCCTGTGTGCTTTTACTCGCCGCTGCGCTGGCTGCGTTCGCCCGGCTCGTCGGCACCGTGGGGCCGGTGGTCCGGTGCGAGCCGTGCGACGCCGGGGCGCTCCTGCAGTGCAAGCCCCTGCCGAAGGACTGCGCGGAGCGGATGAAGGAGCCCGGCTGCGGCTGCTGCATGACGTGCGCCCTGCGCGAGGGACAGGCGTGTGGAGTGTACACGGCGCGCTGCGGCTTCGGCTTGACCTGCCAGCACCAGCCGGGGGAGAGCCGACCCCTGCAAGCGCTGCTGGAGGGACGGGGAGTGTGCTCCACTGCCGCGTCCAAAAAACTCAACAGCATCCTCATACCAGCGCAAAAACCAGGTAGACAGCCACGTTTTTATTTGCACGTTTGAATAACTGTAGACACCTTGTTGTTTTATGTTGTTGTTGTGGTTATTTGGTGGATTTGACGCGCTCCCCGTGAGGTGGTGCTCTTTGTTGACCAGACCTGGGGAGTTCCCTGTTCATGGAAACACAGATTATAGCGTCGCACTGATAGTGGATGAGATAAAGGTGCTTACACTGATCTACTTAAGATAGAAAGGCACAAAGAAACAGGGGCTGTTTTGCAGCCTGCCACAGTGTAAACCACCGATCCTGACCGCGGGGTTTTAGAGGGGAGGCTTGACATTGCACAGTGATGTGTTGATCTGGGTTAAACAAATCCTATAGGCTCCTGGAAGTTTTAGAGGATAACACCAGCCACCGTCAGGGTGTTTACGCAGAAATGAGTCGTTGCTTTCTCACCGGGCAGCCCGACACTTTGTTTTTCCGTGCGCGTAAAGATTCGTGCCATCATGCGTAAAATGCGCAATACATTAAAAAAGCTCGTCGTTTGCGATGTGCAGGCTGTTTGTTTTCAGAAAGTGCAACACTGCTCCTTCTCTTTTTCTCCCTTACACACACGAGCACACATATACACACGCACAGAGCCTGGCTCCCTCAAACCAATAGTTAAGGACTGCCACATACATACTGTAAGTATACAGTATTTAGCTGAGGCTGAGCGCAGACCATGTCCTTGTCTTTTGTAATGTCCCCATTTTCCTTCAAATAAAGCTCAGGGATTTTTGTACACAGAATTAAATTATGTGTTGTTGCTCTACTAGTCCATGTGGGCCAAAACATCTCAGCTGAGAGGGGCGTGAGTATGAGTGTGTCGTGTCTCTGAGTTCCCCATAAGAGACCAACACACACTTAAACACGAAACCAAAGCCTGTTACCAATGAACACAATGTGCAGAAACATGCACAGTGTGTTTCATGTGAATGGACGCACGCTGCTCACACTGGTGAAACGGCACACATGCCACCTCCGTGTGAATACACACGGCTGTGTGTTGGGGCACTGCTGACGTCAGGCCTCCAGGAGCCTCAGTGTGTGTTTTCATCTTACTGGTTATTTGGTTTGGCCACAGCAATGTGTGGTGTGCAAGCACTCGGCAGTCACATTGTCATTCATAAACACAGACACACAAGAACACACACACACAGCCAGAGTTACATACACATGCATGCATCCAGCACACACACTCAGAGACACTCAACAACTTGTCCAAACTGTTTTACCTTCTCCTACTCTTCAATTTCCTCTAATTACATCTGTCATTTTAAATCAGTTTCTCAGCCTCTAAGACAAACATCATTTTTCATACGGATGCAAATAAGTACATCTTAGGCCTGTGAAGCATTCGGCAACACAATCATTTACAGCCAAACATATCAATTCATGACCATTTACAGTATCTCCATGCACTTGTGGAGATGAGGAAGAAAAAATGTGGGAAATGGTCCCAAGCGCCCCTGCTGGTCGTAGTGTATCGGTGCAGCTCGGTGGTTTCCACCGCCATCAGTCCCCCACCTCTCCTCCCAGACATTAACAAGCCCCGCTCACCACAGTTTGTGCTGTTTACCCCTCTGCCATTATACAAACAAATTGCGTAATGTGTTTATCCAGATCCGCCCAGTCTTCCTTGAAAATTTACATAAAAGTTTATATCGACAATAAAAAGTCATGCTTACTTTAAACATAGCCATATTTCTGTCTTTGGTCATGGGCTTCATTTTTTTTTTTTTTTTTTTTTTTGGCAAGAGTTCGGGAAACCACGTGGAGCGTCTGTCGCCGTCTGACTCCGTCCTGATGCAGCCGATGCTGTTGCTGACATCCATGTTGTTATTCTAAGTTCTGGTGAGCCTGGGAGACTGCGGAGTCCCACCACATCACTAATTGATCAGGTGGTCACGGAGAAAGGGTGGGCTGCCAGCCTGCCTGCCCACACGAGCTAGACGCCTACATGCCCGCCCGCCGCCCTCACCGCAGGCCTCCAACACAAAATCTGCTTTGAGTTAACGGTTAAAATCTGTGTGTGTGTGTGTAAGCACCCTACTGCATGTGTGTTCCCATCGTCACCCTCTCTCTCCGGGACATCGTCTCCGAGCTCTGTTAGCTTCTCTGACTGTGGGATGGTGTCGCAGACCAGAGGACGAGTAGAATGGTCGTGTCCTGTATTCATGAGGAGCGTTTGGAGCCCCCCCTCCCGTCCTGTCGCTGCGTCTCGGTCAGACGGTCCCTGCCTGTCTTTAACGATTTTACAGGAATCTTAGCCAGCTCCACGAGCTAATAATACATTTGTAGCCTTATCTCCCACTTTACCTCTCACTGCCTGAACCGTCTCCTCTTTTAGCCCCAATCCTTTAAAAGCTGTGTTTAGACTTGGCTCCTCTTTGTGACTCTATCTCTTGGTCGGCACACTGTGGAAATTTGTGGATATGAAATTGTCATGTTTCTGTTTATTACTTGGCTTCGTTTCTGGCTCCAAACAGCCCACAAGGCAGTGAGCTAACTTTATTTCGTCTGTTTGAACCAGGCCTCTTCAAGGCAGTGACGAGCTCTGTGCCAGATCACAGAGCTGCAGAACGCACTTGAAATGTTGCAGCTTTATTCTAAAACTGTTGAAATTTATTAGAAACACTAAACTAACACTTTACTTAGTCCATCAGTTGAAGTGTTTACAGCCTCGAGTCTACTTTGCAGGTTTGCACACCTGCAGCTGTGCTGTCCTGTTAAAAGATAAACCTTCAGTCCCACCTTGAGGACCTGAGCACTCTCACAGGTTTTCCTTAATTGTTCTTTGTTCCATTCAGCTCTCCCCCGAACCCTGATAAGTTTTCTGTCCCCAGAAAAATCCTGAAACCCCTCCCCAGAATCTTGTTTCTCATCGTCTGTAAGTCCTGAAGGTGATGTCATGTGTCTTTCTCCTCGGAGAAGCCTCTTTCTGGCTGATGGCCCCACTCCTGGAAGTTTGTCCCACCTCCACACAGGCTATCTGGATCTCAGACCTTGTGCTCATCAGGATCTTTGTTACCACAGCTACCAAAGTCCTTAATTGTTCAGTCCATAGAACGTTCTGTTCAGCACATTGTTTTGTAGCGTTGCAAATAACTACTTCAACACAATTCTGCTTCTGAGGTCTGCTGACAGTTCCTTCAGTCTCGTGGTTTGGATTTGGCTCTGATTTGCATCGTCAGCCATGACAACGTATATGAAGAGCTGTGCATCTTTCCAAATCCACTGAAGGTGGAAACGGAGGAAACCTGAGCTCTTTCAACTGTCACCGCAAAACTTCTGAATCCAAATGTCACTGTGATGATGCTGCAAGAGAAGCACCCATTCATACTTTTATACCATAGTATTTAAATAAAAACCGCAAACTTTACAATGTTATGAAGCAGCTTCTCGATCAGAACGTGAAACATAAAATATGTTATACCACGTATACTTCAGCTGTGACAGGTTATCATCCCAATATTCTAATCGCAGCCTTCAAGCTGTTTGAATCCCTGGAGGTGGGGTGATACATTTACAGATTCTCCTCTGTTCTAACCACGTGAGGACAAGTTTGAAGTAACGCTGCACATGAAGATTCCAGAGACTGAGCACAAAACACATTTTGCAACACTCGTGCAACATCTCACTGCTGCAGCTGCAGCCAGGCCACAGGAGAAACACTCAACAGGTGCTCTGCCAACACTCGACACTTCTTCTTTCATAGCAAATAAAACCTTTTATTTTCTCATGACTATCAGCGAAGCGCAGGACCGACAGGTGAAATGAGGTGAAGCACCTGGTCACGTGGCTTCAGGTGAAGAGCAGGCTGGTAAAACAGGTCAGGTTTGGACAGAAGCTGATTCACGTCGTGATAAAAATAAAAACTGGAAGTTTGACAGTTTCTAACTCTTCACGTTGACTCACCTCCAGCAGCTGTAACGACCGGGAGCAGCACCGGGAGCCGCCGGGGGAAGGAGCGGCTCTCCCACCGGTCCTGACACCTCCTAGCACCGGTTAGCATGTTAGCTAGGCTAACGTTAGCAGATAGCAAACACTTGGATGGGGGAGGGGGGCGGGTCCTCCTCTGCGCTGATTGGATAGTTGGACTTCCTCTGTTTTCATCTTGCAGCGTTTTGATTGGTTCAAGAGTTCGTATCTTTAGCTGGAACTTCAGGGTCACACGCAAAGATGGGAAATTAGAATTTCAGTCTTTGTAAAACCTCACAATTACTCATAGGCCACATTAAATATCGTTTGTTTATATACTAAATATTTCTACAGCTACAATCTATCCACACATATACAAATGGTGATGTATCGCTTCATCCACAAAATTATTTCACTTTAATTTTATTGCGTAAATCTATTCCATATTTGACACCGTATATAAAGATAGATTTCATGACAGCTCACCAAAAGTTAAGTCAAAGCATCTCCATCACCACCTGGTGGCTGACTGCAGAATAGGTAGTAAGTATGCCTCCTCCATTTTGGTGGATGGGACATGGACCGAACATGAAAGTCAATATATACGTTAAATATTTTTCAACGAGGACCTGGAGACGCATCGTCCATCTTTATATACTCTTTGTGGATGTTTGTATGTGGGCCGTCAACCACTAAACTTTATCATTAAAGACTGACTTCCCTTTATCTTCACAGAGGGTGGAGGAAATCAAGTAGAAGAAGGTTTTGCCAATGCTACGCAGACGATGACGGTGCTGACCGGCGTGGCAACTGTGAAGGGTGGACACGGTCGGGGTTCGATGGACACCAGGCCTCCGCTGCACAACAAGCTGATCCAGAAAGATCAGAACAGGAAGACGCAGAGCTACAAGGTGGAGTCAGTGTCAGGAGGAGCCAACATGGACATGCACAACTTCTCCCTGGAGAGCAAGAGGGAGACTGAGTATGTAAGTCACAACCACAGGAAGAGCTCTGACGTCTAATGGCAGAAAGTTATATAGAAATATCATTGATTCTGATCTGCAGAATGTGCAATAGATCAAATATTAACATTTAGAATTAATAATATTCATGGTCCTTGACAAATTAATACAAGACAATAAAAATCTTCTTTAAAAAGGCCTTCATGAGTGACTGTAACTTTCCTGTTAACTCTCCTGTTAACTGTTGAGCTACTTTGTATTCTGGGAACAATATTCAGAGTAGAGACAGATGGAGAATGAGATGCAGAGGTAACTGGTTTGGAATGAACTACTGGCTCTCCGGAGCACGTGGCTGGCCACCCTGGCAAAAAATGCACATTGCTGTCAACCCATTGTAGGTGGTATGCATGTGCGGCCTCGTGCACGTGCAGCGAAAACACAAGATACAAACAGTGCGGGGAATCTCTCTTCAAAACATTGCTGTGCAGAGCAATTTGTGGTCAAAGACTCCACCGGGTCCCTTACGCATATCTGCTATCATTTAAACATCATTATTATATAAATTACATGCTCTCCAACATTTTTTAAGAGAAGGTACCACTTGACGTCTCAATTTAGGTCTCGACCTCTTCAATCTGGACATAACTGTGGGTTCATCACTGCGACTCGGGAACGCATTGTTCAGCTTCACAGTATGTCATCTGAAATTTTTGTCAAAATCACAGTTTCCTCAAATACTAATTAGGTCAGACTTAAAGGTTCAGTGTGTAGAATTTAGTGACATCTCGAGGTGAAGTTGCATGTTGCAGCTGAATACTCCCGGGCAGGGACATCATTTTCATTACCAGAAGTTCAATGAGACGTTGATGGGGCGTTAACGTCCGTGATGTTCGCCATAAACTTCCAGAACTGCATGGACACTTCTCATGTTCTTCTTATTCTGCGAATGTGTGTGTGCTAGGGGCCGTGTCGGCGGGAGATGGAGAGCATCCTGAACAGTCTTAAAATCAGCAACGTGCTCAACCCCAGAGGCTTCCGCATACCCAACTGTGACAGAAAGGGCTTCTACAAGAAAAAACAGGTGAATGGCTCTCCCTGCTGTTTCTTTATTTTACACACCATCTCCCTCTCTCTCTCTCTC